CAGGGGGGCATTTTAAAGACCTTCATTAGTCTACCCAAAGACCAAATGGGGAGTTCTAGGGAGGCTAACAGAATGACGCAGACAGACCCATGCCCAGGCCAGAGAATGAATGCTGAGGAAACAGGCAAATTATTCCCGGGGAAAGGAATCCCACGAATTGCAAAAGTTGCATGTAGTGAGTGTGGGCAAGGCTTTAGTGCTAAGTCAAGCCTTATCACACACCAGAGGACACACACAGGGGAGAAGCCCTATGTCTGCAGGGACTGTGGGCGAGGCTTTAGTTGGAAATCAGCCTTCATCACACACCAGAGGACACACTCAGGTGAGAAACCCTATGTCTGCAGGGAGTGTGGACGAAGCTTTAGTCAGAAGTCAAACCTCATTGCACACCAGAGGACACACTCAGGGGAGAAGCCCTATGTCTGCAGGGAGTGTGGACGAAGCTTTAGTCAGAAATCAAACCTCATTACACACCAGAGGATACACTCAGGGGAGAAGCCCTATGTCTGCAGGGAGTGTGGACGAGCGTTTAGTCAGAAGGCATTCCTCAGTAGACATGAGAGTACACACTCAGGGGAGAAGCCCTATGTCTGCAGTGAGTGTGGGAGAGGATTTAGGCAGAAGTCAGCCCTCACTATACACCAGAGGACACACTCAGGGGAGAAGCCCTATGTTTGCAGGGAGTGTGGGCAAGGCTTTAGTCAGAAGTCATTCCTCATTATACACCAGAGGACACACTCAGGGGAGAAGCCTTATGTCTGCAGGGAGTGTGGGCAAGGCTTTAGTCAGAAGTCATTCCTCATTATACACCAGAGGACACACTCAGGGGAGAAGCCCTATGTTTGCAGGGATTGTGGGAGAGGATTTAGTCATAAATCACACCTCATTATACACCAGAGGACACACTCAGGGGAGAAGCCGTATGTATGCAAGGAGTGTGGGAGAGGATTTAGTCAGAAGTCAGTCCTCACTGTACACCAGAGGACACACTCAGGGGAGAAGCCCTATGTCTGCAGGGAGTGTGGGCGAGCCTTCACTCGGAAGTCATACCTCATTATACACCAGAGGACACACTCACAGGAGAAGCCTTATGTATGCAGGGAGTGTGGGAGAGGATTTAGTCATAACTCAAATCTCATTAGACACCAGAGGACACACTCAGGGGAGAAGCCCTATGTCTGTAGGGAGTGTGGGCGAGGCTTTAGTTGGAAGTCAGTCCTCACTGTACACCAGAGGACACACTCAGGTGACAAACCCTATGTCTGCAGGGAGTGTGGACGAAGCTTTAGTCAGAAAACAAATCTCATTATACACCAGAGGACACACTCAGGGGAGAAGCCCTATGTCTGCAGGGAGTGTGGGAGAGGATTTAGTCAGAAGTCAGCCCTCATCACACACCAGAGGATACACTCAGGGGAGAAGCCCTATGTCTGCAGGCAGTGTGGGAGAGGATTTAGTCAGAAGTCAGCCCTCATCACACACCAGAGGACACACTCAGGGGAGAAGCCCTATGTCTGCAGGGAATGTGGACAAGGGTTTATTCAAAAGTCATTCCTCAGTATACACCAGATGACACACTCAGGGGAGAAGCCCTATGTCTGCAGGGAGTGTGGGAGAGGATTTAGTCATAAATCACACCTCATTATACACCAGAGGACACACTCAGGGGAGAAGCCCTATGTCTGCAGGGAGTGTGGGAGAGGATTTAGTCAGAAGTCAGCCCTTACTATACACCAGAGGACACACTCAGGGGAGAAGCCCTATGTCTGCAGGGAGTGTGGACGGGGGTTTAGCACTAAGTCAAAACTCATTACACACCAGAGGACACACTCAGGGGAGAAGCCGTATGTCTGCAGGGAGTGTGGGCGAGGCTTTAGTCACAAGTCAGTCCTCACTGTACACCAGAGGACACACTCAGGGGAGAAGCCCTATGTCTGCAGGGAGTGTGAGCAAGGCTTTATTCGGAAGTCATACCTCATTAATCACCAGAGGACACACTCGGGTGAGAAACCCTATGTTTGCAGGGAGTGTGGGCGAAGCTTTAGTCAGAAATCAAACCTCATTACACACCAGAGGACACACTCAGGGGAGAAGCCCTATGTCTGCAGGGAGTGTGGGAGTAGATTTAGTCAGAAGCCACCCCTCATTAGACACCAGAGGACACACTCAGGAGAAGCCCTATTTTTGCAGGGAGTATGGGCAAGACTGGTGATAAGTCACA